ACAAAACAGTTTTAGAAGTTCCTGTCAAAGGCACCAAATAGGAATCATGTTCCTCTGCTAAAGGTCTATGATTTATTTCCACTGTATAACTCTTGGTGATATCCATATCATTCTCATCACCCTCTGAAAACACAATAGTCTTGTCAATTTTTAGTCTGCCAACACTTTTGCTTCTACAAGTTTTGATATCTTGCTTTTCATTAAGAAATGCAGGTTTCTGTACACTTTCATCCTCCAACACATCCATGATACCAGTAGAAATAAATACGTCAGTTTTTTTAATAGGACTTTCATTACATTTTTCAGCTTCTACAGCTATCTGTCTGTTTACTGTTGTTAGCTGGCTGCTAGTATCTTCTAAATCATTCTTACCCAGTTCTTGTACTTCAGGACCAAATCCAATGACAATAGTGTGACTCTTCGTTAGATCCATATTTTGCTCCTCCTCTGAGCAAATAATTACCTTGTCATGAGAACAATCAAGTGTGGGATTGCCTAAACTTCTCCTCAGTGATTCAGTCAGTTTAGAATTCTGGCTTGGTACAGATTTCGCTGTATGACTGTTAACAGCAGTATTAGGATTTTTCATAGCAGATTGTCTTTCTGAAGAAAATGGCTTTGTGGTAGAAAATAAAGGTTGCTCACACAAAATGGTATTTCTATTATTTCTCAGTGCTACTTGTTTATCAAGATCTCCATCAGAGTATATTATATTATAGTTGGTTTCAGCTGTCTGAGGAGAATCTTTATGAAGGTAGGGTGAAATTTTCAAAACCTGATCTTTTTCTTTGCCCCAGGTATTAGTTGGGATGTTTGTAAACATTATGTCTGGTTGTTGGGATGGCTCAACATGACTTTTACTCATTTCTCCCCATTCATCTGAAGGGCTTTTGCTGTGAGAGTGAGATTTACTCGTATTCACAGGTGCTACAGTGTAAGATGCAAAAGGAGCTTGATTTTTTAAGTTAGTTGTGTGACTTCTGGTCAAATCCATATCTTCACCTCTGAAGATTTCAGTCTTGTCAGTCAATGAAACAGATAAAGGATTTGCCAGATTCTGCTGTAATCTTTCCTTAGATACATGAGGAACTGAGCTACAATTTACATTCATTTCCCCATCCTCTGACATGATTATGTCATTTTGGAGCATCATTTCTTTTTCAGATATTGGTGCAGCTATCTGTACATTTGTCTGATCTTGTTCAAAAATTTGATTATCTATTGCAACTGTATGACTCTTGGTAATATCCATGCTATCCTCTCCTGAATAAATCATTTTCTCTATGGGAAGACAGATGGTATCTAGACTGGGATATATTTTAGAATAATTACCGTTGGGCTTTAGCAAATTTTTCTCTTCTCTCATACCTGAGAGACACTTGGTCAATTCCATGGCATCATTAAAACTGGAAGATAAACATGTCTTATCATGAATAGTTGTACTAAAACATACAGATTCTGGGATCATGGCCAATGTTCTGACATCTTGGTTAGAAATCTGTGTGACTGTATGAGTTTCTGTCCCTGTATTATGTATTTCAGTCTTAGGGTTTAAGGAAGGATCCTGAAAAGCAACATTCTGTTTATTCTTAAAGATTGTCTTCTTTTCTTGAGCTTTAGTTCCATAACCTGTTGTAGTATCAACAATCTGAGTTTGATTTTCTATTTCAGATAAATTATCTGCTGAGGGCAAAATCTGTGTAGTGTGGTTCATTGTTAAGTCCATAAAGTCATTGCCATAAATTGTAATACCATCACTTTTAAATTCCTGTAAGCTGGCCTCACTGGATGTGGGAACCAAAGTCTGAATATTAGCTGTATGACACTGGGTGAAATTCATACCATCATCTTGTTCTCTGAAGATTCTAGTTACATTACTGGTATTTTCATTTACACTGAGAGATGTGTGCATTTGACATGTAGAAGTCTTATGTGATTCTTTGGAATGAATGGATATCTCAGAATT